GTGTTAATGAGATCGAAATTGCAGCTTATTTCGGATGAGAAAACCTTTCTTGTGGTAAGGCTAAGTGATAGTCAATGGCATCGTGAGGCCTACTCATTGCCTTAGGGGACCTAGGCTGACTTAAACTCTAATCCAAAATCTACTGATGAATCAGAAACCTACTCATTCAATGTATTACTAAAGACACTCGGGAAGGAAAAAATGCTTGAAACTGAGCAAAAAGAAGATAAGATTACACATACAAATGGATATTAAAGAGATGATATTACGTTAAAAGGTATAAAAAGATGTCTAAAACTGGGAATATAATGGAATAGGTGCAAGTACATAGAAACGACTAAACAGACAAGCACAAGCGAATGATTAAGCTCTGAGAGAATCTAACGATTCAAGCAGTTCGACTATCCAGATCTAAATAATAGTTTTAAATTGTTGAATATAGCAACCAATGCAATGTCCTCAACTATTTTATGGTAAAGCATACGAAAAAAACTAATACAAGTAATTTTCCAGAGTAACAAGCAAAAAGAGAAGCCAGAGTTAAGCGCTACTGTTTCGAAAGTTAGTCTGATTTTTCTGCCAAAGGATCAATGTGCGCTACAAGTGAGAAAGAAGTTAAATATGTATTAAGCGAATACCTAACGGCAATGCGCTTAAAAAAGTCTGAAAGCAAACGACTGCGAGGGACATTAATATTTAAAAAAGTTATAATAAAAAATCATTCAAGTAAGTGTGCAGATTAAATTCCTTGCAATCTTTCCGAAATCATTTGTATATGACACTGGAACATAGCGCAGTGAAGCATTTAGACAATGCTACGCTTAATCTAAGATTCGATGTAATAATAACAAAATTTTCCTTGAAGAAATGGTCATTTGATGCAGAATAATTATAATACACAAAAATGGTAAGTAAGACTTTTGATAGGTAATCTGCTCACCTTTGTTATTCTAATCTTCCATACATCACAGGAGCTGCTGACATGAAGAATCACACGAAAATCGCGCCATCTGCTTAGGTCAAGACAAAAGGTGTGCAACACTGATGATAAATGCAAGAGCCTTGGTGAAAGATAATTAAGTACCCAATATCCAGAATTTTTATTCTATCGGTTGAATGTGGACGATTCTTTAAGGGAGATTTGGAGGTCGGCTTGAGTAAGAAAATAGATTAACTAAATGAAGCAACCTGACAGTCGAAATATGATTTCCCCAAAATCCAAACAAAATTAAGGTGGAAAAGCGGACATCGTTGGTTTCCTAAACGCCCAAAGAGCCCAGTAATAATCTTATAAAAATAGAACTACCCAAACGATTCAACGGTCGTTCAAATGAGTTATTTGGAAACCGGAACTGAGTGCCCATCTATGATAAAAATACAGGTCCCAGGCGAATTGCATCACTGAAAAATAGATGTGAAATGGGAGATCAAATGACAGAAAATTATAAAAAGAATATTTTAAACCCTACCTTTATAACATAGTAAGGGCCATCTTGTCGAGTATGCTGTATCAAACAAGCTACTTTAGGAATAAACCTATGATCATGGATGCTTAAAATTACTCATGCAAAGCTCGCATAAATTCTTTAAATGGAGACTTGATGTACTCATCTGCCTCGTTAGTGCAAATAGAACGCGGTCTAAGTAAGCCTACCAAACCTTTATTTATATACTGCAAACTGTCGAATGGAAAAAATATATTTGCTCATGGCTTAAGAATTGTATCGCTCTTAGCAATTTTTCAGTTAACTATCAGTGGCCTGATAATTACGGGATGATTCTATTTCTATTAATTTTTAAATTGCAGCGAAAAAATGTATAAAGGATAAAATCAGTAGCCTATCAGTTTTAATAGCAAGCAGACGCGACCATACAAAAGGCCACACCATCTTGGTCTTCCTATCTTTCAGTAAAGACACGGTTGTCTTCTATATAGATTAGCAACAATGATTTAGGCTGAATGAAGTTTACGTCGCTTTAAAATGTATGCTTTCGTATAACAAGATGTGGCTATAACTTGAGTCACCCTACTTAAGGTAGATTAAGGTTTGGTAGTTGGATTTTCCATACTGAAATTAGTAGGCCTCAAGGTGTGGCTAAATTTCACTTAGAGCTACACCTAAAAGGTTTTCTCGTCCAGTCTAGACTGCAGTTGCTAGTTGTGCAGCAACTCTGCGCACGCAATCTGGTCCCAAGTCCCGCTAAGATTGTTCATAAAACGACGAGGCTAGGTGGATGCTGCCGTACATTCGGCATAAGAAAACCTTTAGACAGAAGGTTAAGTGAAAATAAATGGCAACATGAGTCTCATTTAATAAATGTTGAAAACCCAACTATGAGTACTATAATCACCTCCGGCGATCTAGTCCCTATCCAAGATTGGCAGTTCAGAAGTCCTATATGATCTAGTGAGTGACATGTTTCTTTGTCAGCACGCACGTATACGGTACAAATTGCGCCGGTTGATATAAAAAAATGCAAAGCCCTTTGGATGAGAAGTCTTCTGAGTTATATAACAAAGTTAAATTAAATGCAAAGATTTAGGCTTGTCTTCAATTAATAATGCACGAAGTGGTTGCTAGCGCAATAAAAATCTATCCAGAACTAGTACAACAACATTTTCCCACAATAGTCTAGCTATTATAGTTTAGACTCAAATCAACGCAATAGATTTCTAAATAGTAATGAAATACAAAGTGAATGTAAGGCGAATACTTGCCTACTATCTACATATTTATTTACTCCTTAAATCACTCCTATCGAGAATATATCACTTTGCAATTAGTATACTACTCTAAAATGTTTCATATCACCGTTTTCTTACTTAATGTGTCTCGAAACCCTACTTGCATACGAATATTAATGTGAGGCTCACTGAGCTAATAGATAAATTCCAAAGAAGACGATTGAAAATCTACGCAAGCCGTCTTCAAGACAAACTATTAGGTTTTCAGCGATTATGAGATGGGCTATTGTACGTCGGGAAGCGAAAGTCTTCAGTTCTATTACAGAAGGTAGTCTATTTAGTTTTTTTTTTGCAAAATTTTATAGATACGAGAACTAACTGAGTTTCAATAAATCTTCTGAGAAAACATCGTCGGAGGCTTTCATTTTGTATGAACGTGCCTGAAGATGAGACCCAAAGGAGGTTTACGTCAATATGAACGTCGTATTAAAGCTAAACGGCTACAGTACAACGGGGATCCGCCGTCTCTTCTGCTGTGATCGACCTTCGAATCTATTCTTCGTGCAGTTTCATACGAAATGCAAGTCTTCCCAATAATAATGTGTCTTAACAGGTTGAGATGGAAGGGCCAATTCATTTATAGAAATCGCATGAAAGTGGAGAATAGCAGAAAAAAAAATTAACGATAGAATGAAGCAGTTCATTCGCTCTACTCGCTGAAATTTCACTAAATCCCTATTTGGAAGCGTTTGGTCGCTTGAGGTTAATAAAGAAAAATAGCATTGTAAACTCATTTGACTTAAGCTTTTTCTGTTACTTTATAAAAATAAACATTATCTCATCTATAAGTGGATGTAAATATAAGTTAGCAGGACATTTTGAAGCCAAAAAGAAGCACTAGCAATTTACTGAGCCCGTTAGTACCTCGTGATTGTACATTTCATTACAATTTGGTGGAATTAGGAACAGAGTGCCAGGTGATGAAAAAATAAGCGAGTTTACCCAGTAAGCTAATAATGCAACACATGGACAAAGAACGCTGCCTTACATACAAAAAGCCCATTATCTCACTCAGCCAATCGCTCCAGACGTTCTTTCAGATCCCTTTGGGACTTGGAACCTGAAGCCTTTCGAGAAGATGGTAGAAGTACTATCCTGAAGCTGGCGTCGATCAACATGTCTTCGTCGTCCAGCTTAACAGCGAGCAAATCGAGCCTTCGATCCGAAGAAAGACAGGCGAAGTAGGCGCGCGTCAATGCTAGAAAAAGGTTGGCATTGCGTCGACCACTGAGTCGAAAGGAAAGAGTAAGGGTGAGGACAGGGGAAAATGGGATTTAGGCTAAGAAGAATTCTGAAGGTGAAACTATTAAGCTTTTTGTACGACTCCCAAACAAACAAAAGAGATGTGATTGATTTATTGTTTCAAATGGAA